AATTCTTTAGGAACTCATCTGAGGGCACTAGGCTTATCTGTCAAGGGAGGGTGTGTGCAGGATGGAGAGTATAGACTGCGGGTTACACATACACTGGCCAGGGCTGGACTCCTTGTCCCACAGGGGGATGAGGCCAGGGGACCCTGACAGCTTGGCAGTAGCTTGGATGTGACTATGTAAACCAAGGCTTTGTCCTGGGGGCTTGGAGGGTCAGAGCTAGGTCCAGGGCTGCTAGGGCTTCGGCTGAGGGGAGCCAGGGTATGTGTTTAAGGAATCCGGAGGGAGTGACCCCGGCTGAGTGCTGGGAAGGCAGCACGTCTTCAGCTTTCAGTGTGGAGCTGGCTGGGAGAGGGGTCCCCCTCTTTGACACACTGATGGGGCTTTCAGGGGTCTGAACCTCAGGACAGAGTGGGAAGTGGTCAGGACACCCAGAGCCCGTCCAGCCAAAGACTGACTGGGGCCAGGAGACTGTAGAAACCGGCTGGTGGGGACTGGGGGAATACAGACGGGGAGTCCCTGGAAGGTTCTGTCTATGGCTTTGCCAAGTGGTGTACACCGCCCACCTGCAAGGAAACTTTCCACTAAGCTGGATGTTTAGTTAAAAACCACCCAGCCAGAGGTCTTGGGACTCCAGTCTGGATGTGGCCCGCAGGTGGCCTTGTGTGCAGTCAGGAACCTGCCCCCCAAGCCCTGGGAGAGGAGCAGGGCACTGTCTGGACCCCAGGATTCCTAGGCTTGCTTGGGACATCTCCACACACACTTCTGTCCTCCAGCTCTCCACGGGGACGCCCCCCACCATCCTGGTGCCCCCCCACGGAGCCCCCCACTCCCTGTGGCCCCGTCCCCTCCCAGGAAGGAAAGCAGGAAGGCTCTCTCTACCCCGTATTTACACTGACGCGATTTGACTCCGTGCTGGAAGCGACATTGCTCGTCCGCGTCGTAGGCCTGGCCGGGGGCCACCGTGGGGTACACAAAGTCCTGTCTCGGAGGCCGGTTGTTCAGACACAGCCCCAGCCCCGAGCTGCACAGAGAGAGAAAAAAAATCAGCTGTCAGGCCAGGGGGCTGCCAGCCAAAAGCTGCAGGGACCCTGGCTACGGGGAACAGAGCCAATTTCCATCGGTCCCCCAGGCCCGTGCCCTGGCCTCACTCCAGAAAGCTGGTGATATAGTCGCGACTGCAGCTCGACCACACGAACGGGTTGGTCTTCATGGTGATGTGGGCGGCCATCAGTTTCGCGGGGTCCTGACCGCGGGCCCCGCAGGTGTTCCCCACGCCGTCGTGGTTCATGCCGAACCTGGGGACCGCGCAGTCAGCTCTGCCAGGGGCACTGTGGGAAGCCCCGCCCAGCCCCGCCCCCCGGCCCGTGGCCCGGCCTCACGTGTGCCCGATCTCGTGGGCAATGGTGAAGGCTGTGGCCAGGCCGATGTCCTCATTGATGCTGCAGCTTCGTTCCCGCTCACACATGCCACCCACGGGGGCCAGGCCTGGGGAGCAGTGTGTGTGGAGGGGGCTGGGACGAGGGTCCCTCCCAGCCGATCGGGCCACACCCCCGGGCAGGGCCACCCTCGGACCAGGGAATACCATACCTAGGGTGCCACAGGGCTTGTTCTTATAGATGCAGATGTCATAGCTGTGGGAAGGGGGAAAGGTGAGGATACAACAGGCTCCTCCCTGGGTGGCACTACAGCTCCCACCCGAAGCCTCATCCCTGGTCTTAGGGATGCACAGCCCTGCGTGACCGACTGGGACCAAGGCATGAGGGCCCGACACCCCTCTCCCACAGTCCCAGGTGTCTGGCCATCTCTCTCCATTGCTGGCTCCCCCAGGGATGGCACAAACTTCCGGCCTCTCCTCTCTCCCTGCAGAGAGGAGGGAGCCCCTGCGCGGGCCTGCCAGACCTTTGGTCCACCCGGCCCCTTCACCCAGGTCCCCGAGCTCTCACCGCGTGATGAGCACCGCTGTGTCGTGGTTGGCCATGCCGTTCTCCGGAATGGCGTTCCCGTGTCCACTGTGACTCACGATGGATTTTTGCCACTTACAGAAGCTGTCCAGGGACTTGCCGGCGTGGTGCGTGACCTCCAGGGTGGGCTGAGGACAGAGGAGTGAGCTGCAGGGCGCCTGCCATCCGCAGGCGGCGGCAAGGGGGCGTCCCCTCCCCGCTCTGCACCTGGTCCTCCGTGAGCAGGATGAGACGCGTCACGAGGATGTTGACGATGTTTCCCAGACTTGAGTCCTGGAAAAGTTTGGCAACCTGACCTCCAAGAAACAAGAGAGACGGAGTCTTAAGAGGGGCCCAGAACAGAAAAATGCAAAGGCAACAGCAGCGCTTGCTTTTTTTTTTTTTTTTTTTTTTTAGGTATCCAAGCTATGGTGGAATCCTTTTTGATCAGTTCCCAGACCTAGCCCTTTTTTTTTTTTTTTTTTAAAGGTATCTTCTTTCTTTCTTTTAAAAATGTATTTGGTTGTTATAGGGTCTTATAATGCAGCTCGGACTCCTGATGATCCTCCTGTTTTCAGCCTCCCCAGTGCTGGGATTACAGGCATGCGGGAGTGGGACTGGCATGACATGTTGTGCCTGGGATTGAACGGTGGTTCCTGTGCTTGCCTAAGCAGGTGCTGTAAACCGCTATCTCGCTGGCCTGACAGCGCTTGCTAATTAAGCACCTGCTATATTCTGCATCTTAGGCATACATCACCTCACAAGTAGGCACTCTTTTTTTTTTCTTCTTTATTTTTTTGCAGGACTGGGGATTGAACTCAGGACCCTGTGTTTGCCAGGCAAGGGCTTATTCTACTGAGCTATCTTCCCAGCCCGTTATTCCATTTCATTTCATTTCATTTCATTTCATTTCATTCCATTCCTTTCCTTTCTTTTTCTTTTTTTTTTTTTTTTTTTTCTTTTTTGGTCCTTTTGAGACAGGGTCTCACTATGCAGTTCAGGCTGGCCTTGAGCTCATTTTGTAGCCCAGGCTGGTCTTGAATTTGCAATAAGCTGGCCTCAGCCTTCAGAGTGCTGGGTAACAGGTGTGCACCACCACACCCAGCTGGCACTATTTAATTAACTGACTATCTTTTATGGCACTGGGGACTGAATCCAGGGGCTCTGAACTGAGCTACATCCCAAATTTTTTATATTTTGAGCTAGGGTTTCATTAGGACACTAAATTGCTCAGTCTGGGTTAGATTGTGACTCAGTCTCCTGAGTGCTGGGATTACAGGTGTGCCTCACCACACCCAGCCTCCTATTTTAATTTTACAGATGAAAAAATCGGTATGTAGAGACACAGCTGGTGGGGCCGCAGGTCAGATTCCAAGCGGGGCTCCTGACCAGTGTGTTTCTCCCTGATTCTTCCAGCCCCACCTCAGGCCCTTCAGTCTTAAACATCCTCGCCCACAGAGACACTGTCTTCAGTGTGAGTGTCCACGGGGAGGTGGAACTGTGTGAGCAGGTGACTCTGGAGTCAGTGGTCAGGGAAGGCAGGAGGTGGCCCAGAGGATAAATGGGCGTGTATGATGGGGACCAGGTCATGCAGGGACCCTGGAGCCTGGGCTGGCAGTGTCCCGTCCCCGGAATGCTGGCAGGTTTTAGGAAACTCTGATAGCCCAGGAAGGGAGGCAGGACTGGCAGCGCAGTGGTGTGACACTTGATGTCAGGTCACGGCTTGGGCCACTGAGCTATGCTATGTGCCAATATTCCGTCTGGCTTTCCTCCCATGAGCCCTATCCTCTGCTCATTAATGTATTTTGTTTTTTCTTTTCTTTTCTTTTTTTTTTTTTTTTTTTTTTTTTGTGGCTGGCTCAGCCTGCCCTGTGGGTAAGGCTGGTGTGGCATGTGGTGCTGGGGATCAAAACATGGTCCCTGTGCACCTAAGCTTGCCTAAGCAGGTGCTTTAGATGGCTGAGCTATCTCGCTGGCCCATATTTTGTTTTTTCTTATATTGGGGATTAAACCAGGACCTTGATGTTGGGCTATGTCCCCAGTCACTTTTATTTTTAGACAGAGTCTTTACTTGCTAAGTGGCCCCAGCGAGGCTTGAACTTGAGATCCTTCTGCCTCCACCTCTTAAGAGTGCTGGAAGGACAGAAGTGAACCACCATACCTGGCACACGTAACACGCATGCGGTACTTTCAGGTACCAGGAGTGAGCATGCTGCCAATGAACCGGATGTACCTTAGCCTCATGCACTGGACACCACTGTCATCTCCATTGTATAGGTGGGCAAACTGAGGCAGAAGGGTGATGCTCTGCTCAGGGCTCCAACAGTAAAAGGGGGGCAGAGCTGGGGTTGAAGCCCTGCTCACTCCAGGACACACGTAACCCCCTTTTTGCTCTGGCCCGACTTGAGGACTAGGGCTATGACAGTGACACCCTTTCCCATGACTTCTACAGGGCCCTCAGGGCTCCATGCACAGGAAGGGGGAGGCACTTACAATGTTCATGATGGCCAGCACGTACTGCTCCACGTCTCGGCGCCCGTGGTAGGCCACCATCATCTTGTCTGCCACCACCAGGGTCTCCACGTAGCGCTCCCGGCTGACTGAGCGCTTCAGGCCCAGCTGCCCACGCTCTGTCTCGTTCCCTGGAGGCCTGGCAGGCGGGGCCTTCAGGGTGCGCAGCCACCACGGCCGGCCTTTCCACGGCTTCTCATCTGAGGGATGCAGGACAGCAGTTAAGACCGCCACCCCTCTCCTTGTCACACCCCTCGACGACCCGGCTGTCTTGCTATCCAACAGTTTGGACTGGCCACTTCTCCCTATTTTTCAGATTGTTTTCTTTGCAGTACTAAATCAAATCCAGGACCTTCTCACTGAGCCCATTTTATTTGGAGAGTCTCACTAAGTTGCTACATTGCCCAGGCTGCCTCAAACTTGCGATCTTCCTGCCTCAGCCTGCTAGAACACTGGGATGACAGCATGCTTAGCTGTGGCCTGGTCATCGCGTCCAATTCCTCGACGTCTATCTGCTGGTCCAGGGGGTGAGAAACCACCTTTGCTGATATATGCAGCAATACTACGTCCGCTTCTACAGTGCCTCACAACTCACATGCTTAGGTAAGTATGTGTCTCACTGCCCAACGTGGGCTGCGTGAAAACCTGCCTGGTATCTCCCCCAGCTGCCTGTCCACCTGCTCATCAGCCAGGCTACACGGAGTCTGTGTAGCTTCCAACGAGTCCGCCTACACCCCTCCTGCATCTGAACTGCGGGCTGACGGGCCGCTCAGTGTCCCTCTGCAGAGGCTGATTGTATAAACCTGAACAAGGCCACTGCCCTAACGTACGGGGGTTGAGCCCCCCATCTCACTATCTGGACCATGAGATCATATGGCAGCTGGTTTACAAACAGGCAATTGTGCAGTAAATTCCCCATCCTGTCACCTGGCTGCAGAAGAACCCAACTGCCCAGCAGCACCACAGCCAAACTGTGACAACTATTTTCTTTCTTTTTCTTTTTTTGTTTTGAGACAGGGTCTAGCTATGCAGTTCACTTTGTGGCCCAGGTTGGCCTTGAACTAGCAGGGATCCTGGGCCTCAGCCTGCCAAGAGCTGGGATGACAGACATGCGCCATGACACCTGCTTGCATGGTCCAACTATTTCAGCGTCTGTGACTCTTTCCCCCAAACATCACCCAGTTTTCTTTCTTTTTTTTTTTTTTTAAATGTGTGTGTGTGTGTGTGTGTGTGTGGCCAGCTCAGCCCACCAGGGGGCCGGGCTGGCTGGGGGATTGAACCGCCGGCCGTATGCTTTGTTGCAGCTTGTTCTTTTTTTTTTTTAAAGTTTATTTTATTTATTTAGTGTGTGTGTGTGTGTGTGTGTGGCCAGCTCAGCCCACCAGGGGGCGGGGCTGGCTGGCATGTGGTGCTGGGGGATTGAACCATGGTCCCTGTGGTTTGCTAAGCTTGTTCCAAGTAGGCGCTTTAGACCACTGAGCCATCCCGCCAGCTCCAAATTTCTAATATGGTAAATAGAAACATTTGTCTAGGA